TTGGGGGATGGCAGTTGCGGGGGTTTGTGGGGTTATGGGGGTTATGGGGTTTGCGCCAAGATTTCCTATCAATTAGAACTTTTTGTGAGCAACTTGAAAAGCACTGAAGATACCACCTCCTCACCTCCCCGTCCATGGAAATCCCCCTATTCCCGAGACTCTTCTATATGTGTCACTAACATTTGGCTGGTGCGGCTTGTGCTTGCATATGTTTGCGGGGCCAGGGGGTGAGCGGTGAAACGGTACTGGTGCTGGTAACAATATCACCACGGCGGGCAATGAGTAAGGCTCAGACGGCGTTGAAGAGCTTCATTGCCTCTAGGAATGGCTTGCTGTCGATCTCAATCCCTCAGAATACTAATACTCCCAGCGCTGGTAACCTATATGTTTGTTTTAGCTGCCGGGTCAAGCAGCAACAGCAGCAGCAGCAGCGGAGGAGGATATATACCCCATCTCCAAAGCCTGCGCAAGCACAGTCTCCAGGTGTCAAGATAGTATGGACTCCGCCGAAAGAAGGAACTTCCCCCTCCGAGTTACAGTTTACGGCCAAAGAGAGGGCTATGCATGCAACACTCCGGCAGCGTTCACCAGGCCCTGACCCCATGGCCACCACCTCCACTTCCACTACTACCTCCTCCTCCTCCCCAACAACAAGTACCGGCCGCCTCCCCCCCCGCCTCAAAGCCCTCATCACCTCCCGCCTCTCCAACTACTACCAAACCAAGTACGAATCTGACGTCTCCAGCCGTGATACCCTCCTCAAATCCAACAAACTCGTCAACATGCTTGAATTTCGGTACAACATGAATCTCTGGCGCGCACTGCTAGCCTTCCGCCGGCGCGTCCACGGGGATAGAGGCGTGGTGGACATATTCCACGGGATGAAGCTCCGAAACGTACCCCTTCCATCTACAGGCGTGAACGCAGATAAGATGTGGGAGATTATCCTCGAGACTGCATTCCGGCGGAAGGACTTTCTGGAAGAGGTGTTGTCCTCTGTGATTGGGAAACGTGCCTGGGCGAGGAGGGGGGAGGGGGCTGCCTGGAGGAGGGAGGAATGCTGGCCCCAGTTTTATGAGAAGGTCATCGGGTATTATCTCCTTCGGGAGCCAGCGCAGGCAGGCATGTTTCATGATAAACTTGTTTGGGCAGGGTGCGCGCCGAAGGATTGGGGAGAGTTTATGGTTAATATCTGTAAGAATATTTTGAAGCTGGGATATTCCCCCCATAGGCGCTCGGCGTTTCATCGGTTACGAGGCATTTTTACATCAGTGAAAGTAGGCGGCGTCTATGAGAGGTTGATACCGTTTCTAGCGAAACATGTGACGGTCACGGAGGCGTTCAAGTGGCATAAGCAGTGCCTTGCGCAAGGGGATAAACCCCGAGACTCGAGCCCCGCGGATGGCATATTTGATTATCTAGGGACGGCGGGGATCATGGGTGAGATTAGGGATTTTGTGGAGGGGTTTCTCGGGAATGGGGTGAGTGTTGCGGAGTCGAGTTTGGTGGCTTTGGTGAGGGGAAGGTGGAAAAAGGACGACGTGTTGATGATGTTGGTGGATATGGTCAACAAAGGGAAGATTGAAAAGGGGGTTTTTGGGGATGGGTTTTGGGAAGTG